GACCTGAGCCGAAGTCGGACATTCAACCGACTGAGTCACCCAGGTGCCCCTAAACCATTAACTTTTATACTCAAAACTTTTTTAAGTAAATGAGGCACTATTTACTTAGACCAATATACACAGTGGTCAAATTCTGCCCCTCATGACCACAAATTCTCCAAGGATAAGCAAAAAAGAAGTTCATCTTTAGAGAGATTTATTTTTCCAGTCATATAGAAAAGAAATATTTATTTATGCCCTCCTTTGTTTCATAAAGACTTTGAATTGACTGGGGTGCCTGGGTGGCTCAGTCAGATAAGCATCTGACTCTTGGTTTCGGCTTGGGTCATGATGTCACGGTTCATGGGATGGAGCCCCACATCTGACTCTGCACTGACAGCATGGAGCCCACTTGGGATTCTCTCCATCTCTCTCTCTGCTTCTCCCCTGCTGTCTCTCTCTCTCTCAGAATAAATAAATAAATAAATACTAATTAAAAAAAAGAATTTCGGGGCGCCTGGGTGGCTCAGTCAGTTAAGCGTCTGACTTTGGGTCAGGTCATGATCTCCTGGTTCATGGGTTCGAGCCCCACATTGGGCTCTTTGCTGACAGCTCAGAGCATGGAGCCTGCTTCAGATTCTGTGTCTCCCTCTTCCTCTGCCCCTCTCCTGCTCGCACTCTGTCTCTCTCTCTCACTCAAAAGTAAAATAAACATTAAAAAAATTTTTTTAATAAAAAATAAAAAGAAAGAATATGAAGTCACTTATAAGGGCTTTCCTTCCCAACTTCTGATTTTTCCCCCAACTTTACTGAGGTATAACCAATTTCTGATTTTTGACCAATCTTCTGGTAGAAGAATGGGACTAAAGTTTTGGTTACGTGTGTGTGTGTGTGTGTGTGTGTGTGTGTGTGTGTGTGTGTGTATCAAAGTTGGGAATTAAGTGTACTTATTCACAAAGAGGTGGCAAAACAGCACTGGTTAGAAGCATAAAGGCTTTTATTAACTTCTTACCAGAATTACATTTAAAATAGAATCTTGCCTTTTGTGACTCTGTAAAACTTTTATAAGTAATGATGCTAGAGACATATTTTGACAACTTCCTTAATTTTGTTTTAGGATTTATAATGGATAGAATAAATACTTTACTATTTAAAAATAAGGCCCACAGGCTTCTAATTTGTATAATTGCTGTAAGATAAGCGCTGTCAACAATTTTGAGAAAATGGAACTTTCAGGAAGATCTCTAAACGTTGTGTTAACCCGGAAGGAGATCTCTTATGGACAGTCTGAATCTGAGAAATGAAGATGGCAAGGTGAGGAAATGTGTACTTATTAACCGCAATCATGCTATCCAGAACAAACAGTAATGATGAGTTTTGATCATGCTATCAAACTCAAATGCAGAAAAGAAATTCTTTTAAAAATAGGAAACGGGGCACTTGGGTGGCTCAGTTGGTTGAGCATCTGACTTCAGGTCAGGTCACGATCTCACAGTCCGTGGGTTCGAGCCCCGTGTTGAGTTCTGTGCTGACAGCTCAGACCCTGGAGCCTGCTTTGGATTCTGTGTCTCTCTCTTTCTCTGCCCCTCCTCCACTCATATTCATTCTCTCTCTCTCTCTCTCTCTCTCTCTCTCTCTCTGTCAAAAGTGAATAAACACATTAAACAAAAATTTTTTAAAAATAAATAAAAATAAAAATAGAAAACAGATGGAGCGCCTGGGTGGCTCAGTTGGTTGAGCAACTGACTTTGATTTTGGCTCAGGTCATGATCCCAAGGTTGAGGGATTGAGCCCCACATTAGGCTCCGAGCTGAGCACAGAGCCTGCTTAAGATTCTCTCTCTCCCTCTGCCCCTCTCCCTAGCTCCTGCATGCTCGCTCCCTTAAAAAAGAAAAAAAAAAAAAAAAAAAAAAAAGGAAACAGTTTTCTTCCCAAGCATATATAGACAACGTTTCTTTTTTTTGTTTTAAATAGGGTCTCTACGGGGCAGCTGGGTGGCTTTCATGAATCTCACAGTTGGTGAGTTTGAGCCCTGCATTGGGCTCTGGGCTGATAGCTCAGAGCCTGGAGCCTGCTTTGGATTCTGTGTCTCCCTCTCTCTCTGCACCTCCCCCACTCATGCTGTCTCTATCAAATGTATAAATAAACATTAAAAAAAATAGGGTCTTTAGGAGAGCAATTTAATATGAGAAAAAGATAAAACCTAAGATATAAAGAGATTATAAAGAACTGAGAAAAGTTAAGTAAAAAATTTAGAAAGCATTCATAGGGCTTCCTCTGTAAGCATACTAAATGAGCCATACCTAGAACATCTACAATCATGGGTGAGTTTTTACTTAAAATGGTAAGATATAACTTCTATAAATGTGATCCTAATATTAGATACTCAGAATTAATAAAGACTCCATTGTTATACTTTATTTACTTTCCTTTTAAAAATCTGTTACATAATAACCTAAATGTTTAAAAAAGTAGCAATACCTAGAAAGATGTAAAAAACAGAAAAGTAACTTTTTATTTTGTTTTTCCTCACATCATAAAAAGCTACATTAAAAAAAGGTAATTTGGAGAAAAATAAAATGATGCATTTTTCATTAAAATTTGAAATGCATCAGAAACTAAAGTGGTCTAAGGTATTCGCTCAATACAATATTTAAATAATAACTACCTTAAAATATAAGCCAAAATATGACTATGCTTACAAGGTATTAAAAATTGTATTCAATAAAGCTGTAAAAATTTTTTACAATAAAAATATTGTTTGCGGGGCACCTGGGTGGCGCAGTCGGTTAAGCGTCCGACTTCAGCCAGGTCACGATCTCGCGGTCCGTGAGTTCGAGCCCCGCGTCGGGCTCTGGGCTGATGGCTCAGAGCCTGGAGCCTGTTTCCGATTCTGTGTCTCCCTCTCTCTCTGCCCCTCCCCCGTTCATGCTCTGTCTCTCTCTGTCCCAAAAATAAATAAACGTTGAAAAAAAAAAAATTTTATAAAAATATTGTTTGCATATAAGTAATTGAAACCCTCACAGAGAAAACCTTATTATTATACAAGTCACATCTTCTTCATTATTAGCTAAGTAGAGGATTCCATGGGCCATACAGAGTCCATCATCACTGGAATTATTTTTGAATTAATAATCAGGCTTTAATTTTGAATATTTTTTTTGATGATTCCACCTCAAATCTGCATTAAAAGTTTATTATTTTTGGGGCCCCTGGCTGGCTCAGTCGATAGAGCACGCAACCCTTAATCTCAGGATCGTGAGTTTGAGCCTCGCGCTGGGTATAGACCTTACTTTAAAAAAAAAAAAAAAAAAAAGTTATTATTGTGTAAATAAAAGGTTCTGGTACAAGCTTAGACACTAAACTTATACTTGTCTAAAACAAGGTTTAGTCTCTAAAAGTTACAGATTTTAGGTCAGGTATGTCCACCTGAGAAACAAAGAACAGATGGTGGTAGGTGTTTTACTTTTATGGGACCAGGGGAGGGACAGGGGCGATTAGCAGATTAGCGGAACTAATAATAGGCCTAGGGGAAAAGTAGCAGTTAAAGCACTGAGAACAAACTAGGAGAGGGGATTTAATGTACCACTGGGCCTGGGCCTCAGGTAAATCTCCACGGGATGAGACTGTTTCCCAAATTTCCTTGATCACAGGATGTGGTACCTGGCAGAATCACAATGGAACTGGTGTTTGTAACAAGTGTGCCTAGTGACTATTATGAAGCAAATCAAGTATATACTGGACTAAGAATAAATTAGAAAGAAACATTCCAATTATGGAACAAGAAATCAGGATTAAGGAAGAGTAAATCAGGGTCGGATTAAGGGATAACTCAGATTAATTACTAATACCAGGGGTCAGCATTTTTCTGTGAAGAGGCACATAACAAATGTTTTAGGCTTTGGGGGCCAACAGGCAAAATCAAGAAGATCATGTAGGTGTAAGGGAGAATCAAATTTCCACAAAGGTTTAATTGACAGAATTCAAAATGTAATAATAATGGAGTATAAATTTGCTATATAGATCTACTAATAAAAAAATGGAATTCTTTTTGGAGGAGTAACATTTCGCTTAATTAGGGTTCAAAGTTAGTGTTCTCTATCGTGAAAACTGAACATGTTCATCTGTTAATGCTGATCTGTAATGAGATTTTACATATTTCCTCTTTGAAAAATCATTTTGTGGATACATGCAGACAATACTGACACACATCCGTAAACATGTAATTTTAATCAACCACATTCACTGCTTGGAAGGCGTTTATAAAATCAGATTCTTTTCTTGATATCTGCCTGTTAGCATGTCATTACACTGTAGATTAGCCAGTCCCAATGGAAGGTTAGGGGAAGGGCCTCCGGTGTACAGTCAGATGGGTTACAAAACAGGAAACTTCCTTCACGTTTTCATCACAGTCCCCCGAAAACCGATGCTGGAACTGTGGTCTGAGCTCAGAAAACATATCTGCTTTGACATCTAAAACTCCAACTGTTTCTTCTCCTGTTTTGGCGTGATAGGTATGCACCGGCAATTAAAAAATGAAGTGCTATGGTACTGTGGCACACATGGGACTCAGGCCATAGAGTTCCACCTGTTCAGTGCGCTCAGCAGTCCGCCAAGCAGATGAGGAGTGACAAGTACCCACACCCGGGCCCCGCTGCAACCGCTCAACTCTGCCTTTGCAGCACAAAAGCGGTCACGGACAAACATAAAGGAATGAGCGCGGCTGGGCTGCAACAACATCTGATTTATGAATGAGGAGATCTGAGAGTTGTATAATTTTTCCGTATCACAAAATATTATTCCTTTGGATTTTTTTTTCAGTCATTGAAAAATGTGTAATATCTATATTCTTGGCTCACAGGCTATATAAAAATTGGTGGCAGGCCAAATTAGGTCAAAGTCAGCCAACCACTCACCTATACTATAAACTTTTACTGGAAAAAAATCTGTAACTTTTGATTTCTTGAAAGTCAACAATAAAAAGGCAGCACCAAAAAAAAAAAAAAAAAAAAAAAAAAAAAAAAAAAAAAAAAAAAGCAACTCAATTAAGATATGGGCAAAAGACTTTGTCATTTCTCCATATACAAGTAGCCAATAAGCACATGTTCAACATCATTAGCCATCAGGGAAATGCAAATCAAAATGCCAACAACCACTAGGGTGGCTATAACAAACCACTAAAAAAAAATAAAAAGGATTGGTATGGCAAAGATGTGGAGACATTGGAACCTGCCATTCAGTTTGGTGATTCCTCAATAAACTAAACAGAACTACCATGTAACCTAACAATTCCACTGCTAATATGCACTCAAAAGAAATGAAAACAAGTATTCAAACTTTTGTATGAATGTTAACAACTGCTCTATCCACTATAATCAAAAAGTGGAAAAAACCCAAACGCTAATCAACAGATTAATGAATAAACAAAATGTGGAATATCCATACAAGGAAATATTATTTGTCCATAAAAAGAAATGAAATACTGATCCACGCTACAACATGGATGTATGTTGAAAACACGTGAAGTGAAAGAAGCCAGACGCAAAACACTACCTATTGCGTGATTCCATTTAAAATGTCCAGAATTGGCAAATCCATAGAGATAAAAAGTAGATTAGTGGTTGCCAAAGGTTGGGGAAAGGGGGAATGGTAGTAACTGCTAATGGTACATCCCTTCTTGGGATGGTGAAATGTTCTGGAATTAGATAATGGTGACAGATGTATAAATGTGAATATACTAGCAATCGCTAATCTGTATGCTTTATTTTTAATGTTTATTTATTTTTAACAGAGAGAGTACATGCAAGAGGGGTAAGGGGTAGAGAGAGAATCCCGAGCAGGCTCTGTACTGTCAGTGCAGAGCCCAATACAGGGGTCGATCCCAGAAATCAACCATGAGATCATGACTGAGCCGAAATCAAGAGTCAGGTGTTTAACTGACTGAGCCACCCAGGCACCCCAAACTGTACACTTAAAAAGGGTGAATTTTAAGGTATGTGAGTTATATCTCAATAAAAGTTAATTTTAGGGTCGCCTGGGTGGCTCAGTCGGTTGAGCGTCCGACTTTGGCTCAGGTCATGATCTCGCGGTCTGTGGGTTCAAGCCCCACGTCAGGCTCTGTGCTGACAGCTCAGAGCCTGGAGCCTGTTTCAGATTCTGTGTCTCCCTCTCTCTCTGCCCCTCCCCCACTTGCACTCTGTCTCAAAAATAAATAAACATTAAAAAAATAAAAGTTAATTTTAAAAGTCTATGGCATGGGAATGTAAGCTGGTGCGGCCACTCTGGAAAACAGTATGGAGGTTCCTCAAAAAACTAAAAATAGAACTACCCTACCAGCTAGCAATTGCACAACTAGGCATTTATCCAAGGGATACAGGTGTGCTGTTTTGGTTTTTTTTTAAGGCTTATTTATTTCTGAGACAGAGAGAGACAGAGCATGAGTGGGGGAGAGGCAGAGAGGGAGGGAGACACAGAATCTGAAGCAGGCTCCAGGCTCTGAGCTGTCCGCACAGAGCCAGACGCGGGGCCTGAACTCACCAACTGTGAGATCATGACCTGAGCCGAAGACGGTTGCTCAACCGACTGAGGCACCCCAGACAGGTATGCTGTTTCGAAGGGACACATGCACCCTATGTTTATAGCAGCACTATCAACAATAGCCAAAGTATGGAAAGAGCCCAAACGTCCATTGATGGATGAATGGATAAAGATGTGGTATATATATACAATGGAGTATTACTCGGCAATCAAAAAGAATGAAATCTTGCCATTTGCAACTATGTGGATGGAACTGGCGAGTATTATGCTAAGTGAAATTAGTCAGAGAAAGACAAAAATCCTATGACTTCACTCATATGAGGACTTTAAGAGACAAAACAGATGAACATAGGGAAGGGAAACAAAAACAATATAAAAACAGGGAGGGGAACAAAACAGAAGAGACTCATAAATACGGAGAACAAACTGAGGGTTACGAGAGGGGGTGTGGGAGGGGGGATGGGCTAAATGGGTAAGGGGCACTAAGGAATCTACTCCTGAAATCATTGTTGCGCTATATGCTAATTTGGATGTAAATTTTAAAAAGTTAAAAATAAAATTAAAAATTAAAAAAAAGAAAGAAAAAAGAAAAAAAAGTCTATGGCAAATAGCTACAGAGGATTAAGAGCACACTTATCACGATGAGCCCTGAGTAATGTCCAGAACTGTAGAATCACTATATTGTACACCTAAAACTAATACAACATTGTATGTTAATTATACTGGAATTAAAAAACAATTTTTTAAAAAGACAAAGAAAAAAGTCTATGGCAAATATTGCTAAATTTTAGATATTACTGTGTTTCTTAGCTATGAAACAAAAAGGAGTATTCGAGTTGTATTACATGCTGTACCTATGTCAAATTACTACACAAGGCTTTCGTTTGTATGTGTTTTTAAGTTTGTGAACTTTATCCAAGCAAAGCAAGGAGACCATTACTTAAGTCTTTGGACTTTCTGCTGTTATTGTTGCCAATTATTTGGTTTGTTTTAATGACATCTCCTGAAATACTATTTGATCTGGAATATTATTCACAGTATTTAACATGAATGCCTTTGAAGTACCTAGAAAATGTAACTGTTTGAGAGACAATAAATTTAGATTTCAGCAGTTCAGAAGAAGACTTAAGAGTTACTAAAAAATCATCACTACTAGAGTTACCACCTACACGTTCCAGCCCCTACTAACATAGCCTGGGGGTGATGGGGTTACCTCCTTCTCCTCTGGGCAGTACAGAGGCCCTGTAGGATGCAGAACAGCTTTCTGTGCATAATAAAAGAGCTCTGATATATTCTTCAGGTTTTTTGCTGAACACTGAAAAGAAAGTTAAAAATTTTATACTCTGAAAGCAGTTATGGGAGTTAAAGACAATTTTTAATCAATATAAAGTAATAATAAGATTGCCTGAAGAAACTGAAAACTACATCTTTCTTTGCTGATATCACAACAGTAATGTCTACAAGAACACAGCGGCCATTTCCAAGTCATCTGTTTTATCTGGTTTACATGACTTCACAAACAGCAGGTAATTTACTCCATCCCCTACCTTCCCACATCTGATTTTAAACCTCAGTTTAGCGAGAATTCACTAGTAAATTTCAAAATCAAACGGTAATGCATACCTCCACACAGGTTTCTATTTCTGTGTACTGGTTCATAATGGGAAGGATGGTCTCCATACTACTGTATTCCACCAGATCGGATTTGTTCCCAACCAGTATCAAAGGCAGCCTGAAATAAACAGGATATGTTGTAACAATAAGGAAGGCAAAAGACCTTAAATATCCATGTTAAAGTACATAAACTCATTCTAACTAATAAGCTTTACTTAATCCCCCCAACACGAACCTTCTACTGTAGTCAGCTCTGGTCCCCTAGAGAGCATGTTCATATTCAACAAGTATTTACTCAGTACTTCTTTTTCAAAAATCTTTAGGTTCATTTATTTTCTTTAGTAAATTCTACACCCAACTCACAACCCTGAGATTAAGAGTCACGAGCTCTTCCAACTGAACCATCCAGGTGCTGAGCACTTATTAAAAGCCAAGTACCATTCTAAGCATTCAGGATATAAGATAGTCAAAGTCCCTGCCCATTCTAATAGTGAAAATCAGAAAATGGACAATAAGCAAATAAACAATATACTTCCAATTCCGTAAGTGCTATCAAGAAAATAAACAGGGGAATATGGGACAGAGTAATTGAAGGGGGCTAATTATATAGGAATCAGGGAGAAATCTCTCTGATAAGGTGGTATTTGAGCCAAGGAGTGAAGGATGAAATGGAATGTGCCCTGTGAAGAGCCAGAAAAGAACTGTTCAGGAAGAAAGCACAGCACACGCATAGAGCTCAAATTGAAAAAACATCCTTGTGAGTCCAAAGAACAGAAAAACAGAAAGAAAAATGGCAGAGTGGCTGGACAGTACTAAGCGAAGGGAAAGAGGTGTGACATGGGGTTGGAAAGAGGAACAAAGGACATACACATAAGCTGTGGTGAGGAGTGTGCATTTTTTTATAAGTTTAAAAATGAGAAGCCACTGAAGAATTATGAGTAGGGGAACAACATGATCTGATCATTTTAAAATGAGTCATATATTGTCTTTTAGAGATACATACTGAAATATTTACAGTATGATTTGTTCAAAATGATCCCAATGGGAGGGGTAATAAGCGAAACAAGATGGGTCATGAATTGGTAACTGTTGAAGTGGGATGACAGATACAGAGGGATTCTTTAGACGATTCTACTTTTGTGTGTCTGACTTTTTCCAGTAATAAAAAGTCTTTAAAATGTGGTTGGATTTTAAAAAGCTTGGATTAGAGCAGTGAAGATGGAGAGAAAGTATTCAGATTTGAGATATGTTTTAGAAGCAGAACTGATAGGAGCAACTGGTAGATTAGATATGGAGGTGGAAGGCAAGGCAGGAAATCAGGAAAAATACATAGGTTTTTGGCTGGACAAAATGAGTAGATCTCCTGAGACAGAAAAGATTCGTTTGGGGGTGAGGTAGGGAGTAGGCAGGGAATTAAGGATTTTGTTTTAGACAAGTTAAATTTGACAGGCCTATCAGAAATCTAAATGGGGACTATCAAAGAGAGTCTAGCAGGGAACTGTTATTTGTACGTCCTGCAAGAGAGCTTGGAAAGAAAACAAATCATCTTGCTGGAACTCCAAATAGCAGGAGAAATTCTTGCAAGCATTTATTTACCCCCCTAGTATGGTTATGCAAAAGGGGACTGGCCCATTATATAATCCAAATATAGATTCCTAACAGCCAGGAGGTTTCCAAAGGTAGTGGTTTGCAACTGAAGGGGAGCTCAGAATAGTTTATGGAGCTTAAAAAAAATACACATGTCCATGGGGCGCCTGGGTGGCGCAGTCGGTTAAGCGTCCGACTTCAGCCAGGTCACGATCTCGCGGTCCGTGAGTTCGAGCCCCGC